ATATATATATATATATATATATATATACACACACATATGTTATGGATATATGTATATATATATAATTCATGTTTTATGGATCTATATAACATTATATTATAATTCATGTTTTATGGATCTACCCTTGGCTTTTATAATACTTTTTAAATTATTTGGCATGAGCGTCCATTTTGACAACATGTAGTGATAAAATAAGAAATGCTTAGAGATGTTATTATAATGATATTAAATAATATTATATGTAAAAAAAAAAATAACAATTTTGTATATTATTTTAAAAAGTTTATTTATTATATTTATTTATTATATTTTATTTATTATATTATGATTTATAATTTTGCATTTTGTGATATTTTTGAAGACAAGCGTCTGGTTTATTTGAACAAATGTCACAATGATATTTTGTTTGCTTTCTTTCCCCCTGTTTTTTTGTTTCAACACTCGTTCATCATTACTACTAGTTCGATCTCACAGAATGTAATATTCTTTCTGGATTTTTTGGATCAAGCTAAATAAATTATAAACTAAACTACATATGCGTAAACTAAGTTATATCAAAGTAACTGTAATATATTTTATAATAGTGATAATATATTTTATAATAAAATAAGTATGCGACGTTATTTTTGTAAGAATTTTAGAATTCTTGTTACACTTAATTGTTTTTTTGTTAACAAAATTATCCCATAAATTATTATACATATGCAATCATTAATTGAGAGGATACGAATTCTTTTGCGATTCACTATGTTTGTTCATTAAAAGGATTGTATTTTAGTTAAAGGATCTTTAGTCACATTCAAAAAAATTTATATAAATTTTATAAATTTAACATTGTTTAATAAAATTTATATAAATGATAGAGGTACACATATTTTTTGTTTTAAATAAAATTTGATGTCAATTATAATAAAATGTAGGAAGTTAACAGTAAAGAAAAGTTCGTCGATCGTAACTATGGAAAGAAGACAAAAATCTTTGCTTAAATTACACTAAATGTCAATTACAATTATTTATGTGCAATAATAATATAATATAAATATGGTGATATTTTAATTTTGTATTTTCGAATTATTAATAGAATTAGTTTTTTCAGCAGTAAGTATAATATACTTGCATACAAAATTCGTAATTTCGGATTAATGTAGTATGAATTAATGACAGAGTTTCGAAGCGTGTGGAATGAAATTTCCTTAGTAAATTCATTATTCATAGTTATACTATTAGTCGTAATTAGTTTTCCTTGTATTATTGAAATTACTCATAAGACAACGAGATTCAAAAAGATCTCATAATTGACATGTGAAATTATTTTATCTACCTTTAATAGTAGTAATCTACCCCCATCTTTCTAAAGTGGAACAAAGAGTGCCACGAAAAATGAACTTCTAATTTTAATCAGTTTTCTCTTGAGCTAAAAAAAATCGTTAGGATAAAAGTTTCAATGACTCTGTACTTGACACACGAAAAGGATTTTCTAAAAAGCAATACGTTTGTCGTCGAGATGATCAGCTTTCTCTACGCGAGAGTATTTGATTTTCATTGTATTCCACCCACGCAAACGTTTTCTCGAATCGAGCATAAATGTAGGTCAGTCATCATGAATTCTGAACATATCACTCTATCAATGATCTTATCTATTTTCAAAATTCCGTTTTGTTTTCATAGAAATGGATTAGCGTTGAACAAGATATCCCGATGACAATCACTGCTCAGATTTATTTCGAATTTTCTCTTAAAATTAGTAATTTTTAATAATCGCAATATAATTAAATACGATGAAAGTTCGCTAGCAGTGAGACAGACATTTTTGCCAGGAATTTAAACCAGAAGAAAGTTCAGTACAAAAGCTCGATAGGGCGGCGGGGGTGGAATAGACAAAAAGCGTGAACGAGCTAGCCTTTTTGAACAACCCGACTGTCTGGTAATAAACGTAAAGCTGTAACTACGCTTTGATGTTTGGTTGGTTTTCAGGTCAGTTGCATACATCATTTCGTGCTTCTGATCGAGTTCAGTGTGGCCGAGGATCGTTCAAATATTGTTCACCCAGATGATTTGAGTGTACGAAATTCCGGTCCGTCGCGACATCGGTACCTAGCGTTTGCCATTCACAAGAGATATTCGAAGCTGTTTACTTAAAAGCCATTACCGTCCTCCTTACGGTATTTCTGACAGTTTAAGTATCCGAACATTTGCACGGACAGCTTAATTGTTTCAAGGAAAATATTATATAATTTTTATATAAATGTTAGTCAACTACGACTAATGCATTTGGTATTAATATATTTGTGGCGTAAATCTAGATTAATATCTGAACACTATTGCAAATATTTCGATAAATATACATTTTCAAAATAATTTTAGATATTTACAAAAGATTGAAAGATAAAGTACAGTTATTTATTTTATGTATTTACAAATACAGCATAATTACCACTCCGAAGGCAGGCTGTCAAACGCAGGTAGCAATACCCAAATCCGCTTGGTCTTAGCACCGTTCCATTTAGTTGGTAATGGGTACATACAATTGACCATAACGAATTCGACAGTTAAAGTTGGTCATAAGAAAGTGATGTTAATTACAGTTAAAATTGTTAACGTTGTTGGACAAAGTACGTTCAATAAATAATGTTTTGTTTCGTTCTTCATTTATAAAAATATATAGTTCAAAATGAGCTACGCTTTTACAATCAATAATAATGTTCGTAATGCCTTGATTAAATAGTTGCCTTGATATTGCGTTCAAAGGACAATAATGTCTATACGTATTCTTTGTATGTTTCAATTACGACCAGTAAAATCAAAGTTGTACATTGTCCCGTTAGCTTTTCTTTAAGAAGTTTAATCCTTGTCAAGATTCATTATGTTTCTCGTCGTTCTCGACGATCTCAGAAAATGTTAGCCGATAGCGTGATTCAATCCCGTGCGAACGAAGTAATGAACAACACAAGCTACAACGCGTTGCGTAAAATGAATCAGAAAATTTGACCAATTCAGAAACAAACGAGGAATTAAGCGATAGTTCGTAACAGTTTCTGATATTGATTGTCGTGTAACTGACTTTGATTGATATGAATCGCAAACTGGACCTCGTGTTCTAGTTACGTCAGTACATTTCAGTCGCATTTGTTAACTGCTAAATTTACAAACAGATTAGATGAAGAAAATTTTCAATCTCACTAATTTTTTATGTTTAGAAATGATCAAGCTCGGCCAACATATTTCCACTATACAATGGAGGTAATTATAGAAATGCCTTTTCCTATCAATTTCTTCATTAATAATAGCAATGTTTAATAATATATTTCTCGTTTCTATCAATATTAAATTTCGATCACTTTGTAATAAGAAATTCAGAAATTAAAAATGGAAATCTCTTTGAAAATTAAAATTCTTTGTGTATTAGCTTAACACAAATGAATAGCCTTTAGATATGCATGATTCCAACTGTGATGTGACAATAGGCTTAGTATTTGCCATGCAGTCAGAATTGCCAACAATAAATGTAAATTATTGCCCAGCTTAACAGGATAGAGCAGGACAGTTATTCCAGGTAAAACTTTCTCCATGAAAATTACTTTCTTCGTGTTTTATAATTACTAAAATTACTTTGTTCGTGTCACAAGGTATTTCTTTTATCTCAATCACTATTCGATATTTTTATTATATTTAACGATATTAAAAAACATATAAAGACAAATTTTTATTTAATTTTTATTTATTTAATTTTCAATGAAAAATTTTGTAGCTCATAATTTTTTTCAACAAAATTATTATTTCTTCAGTTTCCATCATTGTTATTTTTCACATTTTTGTTTTTCATATTATTGTATATATCTTCACTTTTAGATTAACCTCCCTAGTTGAAAAAAATCAACCTATGCGATCAACCAAAAATTTTCTTTTGTTTGAAATGTTTATTTATGTAATAAATAAGTGTTAAAACAATGGATATTCTGCGTATTATACATCTAATGAAATTTTTCCGAATTGCTGTTGGATAGATCGTCGTGAAGAATTTGTCGTGAGACTCTTTTTTTCATAAAATGAAAAATAAAATAAGGATCTCACTACATTAGAAAATATGTAAAAAAGATATATGTATGCACTGTCATTTCATTGTTGTAGCTATGATCGAATATGTAACCTTATCTTTTATGTATCATATCCGAAAATACCTCGAAGCAAATGAAAATTAAATATTTTTCGTAAAATAAACATTTAGAAAAGAAACAAGAAAATCTTTAATTGAATTTTTCTTCAAATTAACACCTTTTACTCCAATTACTCCAAATCCTTTTATACCAGATGATTTAAAAATCATGATCTGAAAAGCATGTTTCTTCAGTTATAATAGTAAAAGATTGGACAGCGACGATAATCTTAGAGAGTCGAAAAAATAATAATTTTATTAGAAAAGATCATGAATCACAATGTTTATTTAATTATTAATTGAATGAAGGGAACTAAATTCTGATACATTTTTTTATATCGGCAAAAATAATGAAATATTGGGCAAGGTAAAACGAACAATTTATTGTTAGATTAAACAAAAATGAATATCTTTTCAAATCAAAAAGAAATTAAGATCCCCAAATTAAAAAAAAAATTAAGAAATATATTACATGAAATTTTCAAAAGTAATGAAATTGATATCGGTTTTTAAAAAAGCATCTTGCGGCGTTTAACTTTTTAATTTGTATATTTTTTGTAATCATTCCTTTGGAAATCAAACCATGGAAATTGTGCCGTATAAATTCTTATTTTATCAAGAAAATTGGATCACAACTATCTTGCCGAGAATTATATTGATTTCGGAAAAATTGCAGCGCTGTAACTACAATGATCTTTTTTAATTGTTAATTGTTTAGAAGAGACATAAAATTTATATCAAGCGTGGTACGATTTACGAGAAATTAAATTTCTCTCTTTTCTTGGTCATCTCACGTATTTAATTTACGTGAGACGATCAGTCCAACGTGATATTCGATAGGAATTACACAGAAGGGCAGGAAAATCGGGAGCACCAGAAAAAGTATACGCAGATAAATGTAGAAAGTAGTAGAAGAGAGATTTCAATCATCCCTCAAGGGATGAACGATGAATTTCATTATAAATAAAATTTTTTTACGTCCATACATTTTTTTATGTCATTTGAATTTTCAAAATTTTTGAGAGAAAAAGCAGCCTTACCTGTACCCCTTTCAAAATGATGTAAAAATATAGAAAAAATTTAGAAAAAATTTAGTACTGACTCAATAGAGGCTTTATACTTTAAAATGGACCCAGAAAACTACTTTTATAGTTACAGCAGTTTAAAATGTCAGCAATTTTTCATCGAATATGAGAATATTTTATCGAATCAATTAACCTGGATTTATTTTTAAGCGTAAACTCTACTTTTACAACACTGAGTTCTTTTCTTCCAAAGATATTTTTATCATTTGAAAAGAATGTAAGTAAAAGTACTTTTTCTCTCGAAAATTTTGCAAATAAACATTTATATGGACATTAAAAAAATCTTCTTAACTGAATTCTCTACAGTTTTGAATATTGAATTCTCTTCTTTACAACTCTCTTTTGCGAAATTATAAACGTGTAATATATCAATAATTTTTCAAGGATATACGAATACTTTCTACACGCATTATATTATAGACACAAGCGCATTATATTAAAGGTACATTGGTTTACAATGAATCAGTAAAATAGTGAAATATATAATCTCCATCATAACCAGCAATTGTTCGTTCTTCCATTTGATGTTTAATTCACTGCCGAATTCTATTTCTTTGTTCAGCTTTACACTTACCTGTAAAGCAACAATTTTTCTACAGCATGAAACAGATTTTTATATTACAATTCAATATCAGATTTATTTTTTTTTTTTTTTTTTTAGTCAATGTAATTTCCAATATTTTAATTTCTTTTGTGTAAAGGAAGCTGGAGAAAACGTTAAACGTTATTCGTCGATATTGGTTTTTCCTCTGACAGATATCTGCTACAAGTAGACTGTTAAAATTGGTTTTTCATATACAAGATGACACAGAATATAAATAAGAAGTAGCAAAATAGTACATTGTACTAATAATTTTTTTGATGCTTGGAAAATTTTAAATCGTGTAATAAATTAATCGTTATTTTATTGTATTTAATTGAATTTAATTAATTTAAATATGAATTACAAATATTATTGTATGTAATTAAATGGAAATTATAATGAATATTACGTATAACATTTATTCACTTTAAACGCGTTCGTATTTTTGGAACGTTTTTCTTGTTTACGATTGCGGTGAGAGCACGCCTTATGTTTATTTATACTACTAGACGAGCATCGTTTTCTGAAACGTAACTAATGTCCTAGAATTCGATTAAACACTAGAATATCGTACATCTACCAATATTATGCTTTAAAATTTCCCGATGCGATAATATGTACGTGGTTCTCAAGTATTCAAAGTACAGCGAGAGAAATTAGTTTTAATTGCAGTCATTTAACCTTCTTCTTTACAATTTTTCCCCGATTTCTGCATATCAACGTGCGTCTTTATCAGATGTAATTTTTAATAACAGGCAAACAAACAAAATTTTTTTTTCTATAAAATTCTTTTGTTTTCTATGGTTTGTTTTGTTTTCTTCTCTAAAGTTCTTCTTGTTCGAAATTCTCGTTCGATTCATTTTATTCCCTGATGAGTATTTGCTATCGATACGTGCATAGGGAATTCTATTGAACGCCAATGGATTTCGATAGTAGGTAATTGTGCCAATATTTTCTAGCGAGAACAATTCCCGTTGCAAAGTCCCAGAATACGAATAAATATTATTTTGTTTTTCTGTTGTTTTTACAAAAGAACTCACTCCTAGTAAATATGGTCATAAAAAAAGATCGAGCAACAAGCTTGATTTTCAGAAATGAAAATGGTTGTATTTCACCGAAATTCATCTATATTACAATGTGAATTATATTGTATTACAATGAGAATCATACACACCGCAGGGAAACAATATAAACATATATACTTGATATTTGGCGTAATTAATTTAATAAAGGTATATAATGTTTGTATTTCTTTTTCCTTTCTCTCGCATAATCTTTATTATATCCAATTAGTTTTGCATTGTATTTATATTAAGCATAATATGATTCGTATTACGATGAAAACCTAGTCCACATTGTTATCGTTTTCATTTATTTTCACGTTCCTTTCTCGTCTTAGTCTCCGTACTTAATAAATTTTCGGGAATGGAAAATAAATTATTTTTGCTAATTTTACGTTCATATATATTTTCTTGCACAACGTGTTTTAATATAATGTTCATACAAGTTTTATGATTTAATGAATATAATAAATTAAATGAAGAAATGAAAATACAGTAAAGGACGTTACCGAATAAATGACTGAGCCAAAAATAAATTAAACTGTTATAACTTTGTAAAAGAAAATGATATAACAATCTATTTGATCATTTCAAAGAATAAATTTTCCACCTAAACAGTGCTGAGTTCGTCTTTTTTCAAAGATAACATTACACCATGTAATAAGTGAGAAAGTAAGGATTGTAAAAATTCTAACATCTCTAAAAACGTTGCAAAATTTTTTTCAATATATCGTTTTGATAAATAAAGTTTCCCTTTTACAACAAGCTCTTAGAAGTTGCTATACGATCTTTTTTCAGCATCTTACTAAACTTTGAATATTCGGATTAAACGATACAAATTCAAGGAATCCTAACATTTCATCATTTTATCAATAAAATGTTCAATAAAAAATCGTACAGCAAATTTTAAGAGATCATTGTAAAGAGAAGATTTCAGATTATGGTGGACTTAGTCATGAAAAAAGTTTTTTATCATTTTTAAAAACATTTTTGAATTTTTACAATTTTCGAGGAAAGAATATCTTTACTTTTAATTATTTATCATAATATAAAATCAACTTTGGAAAAAACAAATTTAAGCTGAAAATAGAGATCTTAAGTGGATTGCTATAGAATATTCTTTTACGAAGTTATAAAAATTTAAATTATCGGCAGTTTTTTCATTATTATTATGCTCTTCACTGTACTTATATGCATAACTATTGAATATTGATTTTAAACTGTCTAGAAGTACATTTTTAATCGTTTGAAAATTAAAACTGAATTAAGCTGTGACAGGCAGTAAAATTTAAATTATCAATTATGAGTTTATTAATAAATGTTAGTAAAATGTAGAAATTATGCTAAAGCGACTATTTACACTCTCCCTACTACCATGCTTTGTACTACCTGCACCATAAGGCATTTATTATCTATCCTTCACGCAGGTACAAATTGACTGGTTTAACCATCATTTAACAGTCAAGTTTCAACTTCTCAACATCTCGAGTTCTTACTGAGACATCGAGTTCTTACTCCAGTTCAATAAGTACAAGTGAAATTTAAATTAAATAGCATAGAATAAACTTCAATCTTATGTAAATTGTGTGTCGCTAATTTGAGAGAGTGAATGAAGTTTTCGACGATAATTTAAGTGTAGAATATTGCAGTGATTTGAGTGTTCAAATTTCAAACAAATTTCGTTTGGAGAAACAAACGCGACGAAATGAATATCTTCTTGCAATGTATGCTGAAGAAAAGCAACGAGGAGGTTGAGTCTTTGATTCTTTCATTTCTCTTATGTTATCTGTAAAAACTTCACCATTTTTCGACTGCTTAATAAGGAGCAAAAAATTGTATTAAAGCATTTGCAAATCTCTTTTATTTTGTTATAGTTGAACGTGGAGGAAAAAAGCGAGCAAGAGCACGAGATAGGAAGCTTAAAGTTTACGAAGGAAAATTGGATTAAGAAGCTCGGGAATTATTCACCGTGCCAAGTTCCAACCAGTCTTATAAGGACAAATGCGATGAAAGCCGTGGACAGAAGTGGGCTCTGCGACACCTACGAGGCTACCACTCAACAGACAATTTCAGGATCCTCGCAGGCACCTCTAGAGGAATCGAATTTGGAGAACATTATTCGCGAATTCGAGATAGGTTTTCTCTCGCCTTCGAAACAGGACAGAGCAATTTACAAGAAAAAGAACTTTGTCAAGAAGATCGTCGCGGCATTCGAAGTGAAATATAAGACCGCGACTGGAGAAAGCCACGAAGAAAATAAGTCACATATCGTAGAATCGCCAAGAAAAAATGGAATATTCTCCAGTCCTTACAAGAGCAATTTCGAGGTATCAGAATCTTTTGAAAAGTTCTCGCCTTTGAAACAAAATGGTAAGAACAGTGACGAATCTGGAAATGTCTCGAAGAATGATTCTACGATTTTCAAAACAAGATCTGGAATATTTGATTCCCCATACAAGAGCGAAGACGAAAAAGTGATTGATATCCTTCCCGATATTTCGAAAGATGAAACGAAAGAAGTAAAGAGGAAATCATCGAAGGAATCAGGAATATTCTCGTCGCTATTTAATTGCAACGATTCTAAGAGCGTAAGTTTGTCGGAGATCCGTTCGAGTTCTAGTTCTCTGGATCTCAAACATGAAAGTTCGAAGGATTTCAGCGATTTTCCGATTCTCTTTAAGTTCGACAAAGAAGATTCCAGTGAGGGAGCTAATTTTCATTTCAGCTCGATGGTGTCCTGCCTTGACGAAACAAAGACAATAGATAACATTGATCTTGATGTGACTTCACCGGACAATGTTTTTGTAGCCGACATTGCATTTCCAAAAACAAGTACCATGATCAATAAATTCTCGAAAGACAAGGACGATTCGGTGATCGATAAATTCTCGAAAGACAAGGATGACTCGGTAATCCCAGAAATTTCATGCGTCGACACCGATAGGACTCCGAAGATAGTCGGAGCATTTCTAAAGGAACCTATCGAAGTTGAGGACACTTCCATTAACTGGATACCTATCATTGGAAAAAAACTGCCACGAAAGAGATCGCTAAAGAAGCTGCTCTATTCATTGACCGGGAAAAAATTGAATAAAAAGGATAAACTGTTCTGTTCGGAAATAAATCTGAGCGAGGAACTGCGAGAGTTCCAAGATTCCGGTTACGAGGAGAAATCTTGCTCCTCTTCTTCTTTAACTTCCCGAATTTCCTTCACGGAGGTTCAGCAAGAAAATAGTTATATCGAATCTAATAGAAGAAGCACTTTTGAAACCTTTAAACCGAGGAATAAATCAAATAAAGAAGAGAACGAAGTTTTCTGTTACACGAACCATTCTTCAAGGTAAGCTTATATTCCTGTAATACTCATACCTTTGTCATTATTGAATCTTAAAATGATTAAAACTAACGCTTCTGTTCATATTACAGGGTACAGAACAAAAAACTAATTTTAATTGAAGTTCCTCGCGAAGAAGTGAAACTGGATCTTGGTCCATGTTATCCTCCTTTGAGCATGATTACGTCGTTGAATCGCAAAATGATGGCCGAAAAACCTTCCAGTCCGCCTGCAGTTTATGAATTTTCGACCAAATTATCAAAACATGCTTACGTCTCAAAAATTCCAAAGCATCCATTCGTTTCTCTGCTGAAGATGGACGAGTCGTTGGAATTTTCTCACAAATATCGCAACAGTTATGACTCGTTATCAGTGATCATTAAGAACGATTTATATGAAGTAGAGTTTCGAAGAAGCTGCGACAATCTACTCTCGTCGACTTCCTGCCGTAACTTTTCGTCTACAGCTAGCGAATACGACGTCCCTAGGAGATTCTTGTCTGACAACGAAATACTATCGATACGTCAGTCGATCCTGAACAGTAAGGAAGAGCCGATTTACGATGTTCCGAAGCCGCAAGGTATCGAGAGACCTAGGCCCAGCGTTTACGAGGATGTCACCTTTTTGAAACGGAGCGCCCAGATGAAGGTCCACGATGACTTCAAATTTCACTACTTCGAGCCCAGAGATAGTAAAATTTACTTCAACGACAACAAGATGCGATCGTTGGATGACTTGACTTCCAAAGAGAAGAGTTCCGTTTTTTAATGTAATTAAATTATAATTATTTTGCAACTCACGTAAATGATCTTTCAAGTGACATTCATTAACTTTAAGGTGAAATTGGATCTTAGACACTTATTGAGATATAGTGTAATTATTATACTGTATACAATACATGATATTAATACTTTTGACATGAATTATTTCTAAATTTTAATGTTGATGATGATCTTCAAAATCTGTAAAAATAACTTGTTACGAACTTGACGGTAGAAATATTTTTATGAATTTGTAGTATAAATAATTAAGACGATTGTCGTTTACGATTATTTTATCACTTTTTGGTATTATAAGTACGTCAAGTCGAATGTTTTACATACATGTGTAGAATGAAGTTTATTAAATGCACAGCTTTTTAAATGCTTCTAGTATTACGTAAACGTTTTACAATTGTATTTGTAAACTGTGTTCTCTTTCCGTGTGACAATCTCGTATCTTTCGTATATTCCACGAGATCTTTTGAAAGTGAATTTTTCTTCTAAATGATTTCATACTTTAATTAAATCACGTTAATTATAAAACTATCTTTCGTGTGATATTCAAAACACAAGCGAATTTTTAATTGAAAGCTTAAAACATTATGGAAGAAACAGAAACTTTAAATTAGTTGAAATTGTAAAAAGTCTATTATTTTTAATAAAAGTCTCCTTATACAGATTTTTATTATGTGCGCGATACTTTAGATCTTGAAATTGTTTGTTAAAACTCACTCCCTTTCGTTTTCGATTGGAACCGTTGAATAAACACGAGTGTAAAAAAAAATCTGGAAAAAATAATTCGTTAGAAAAATGAAAAGTTTACGTAGTCTGGCGTTAAAAGGATGTTTACAAAAAAATTCGAATCCGGCGTCAAATATTCTTGTGATTTCGAAATGTGTCCGTATTACGTATTTGTACCATACATCGAATTGTAAAAGTAGATACGTAGACATAATTATTTTAATGTATTTACTGTATAATTTAAGCTACTTGTAAATACACTTGTTTGTATTGTAGTATATTTTCAACGAAAATTCTCGTTGTAAATCGAATCAACTGTGTATCTTCTTTCTTTAAAGGGACGTAAAATTTCCTCATAATGCTTTTGGATTTCAAACAATCTGGTTCGTCAGGAAAGTATAATAAACCAAACCTAATCTTAATTCTTATTTTTCAAATAATAGAAAAAAATTAGAAAGAAAAAAAATATTATTTTTTGATCACTGACATTAAAACGAAACGTAGCTTAAAAAGAGGACTTGCAAATAGATGGATCATCCTACAAATATTAAGATAATGATATTAAGTCATTGGCTATTCGACGGTCGACAGCGAAAACGGTAGACAGAATTCAATGTACCGTATTGAAAATTTCTCATTAATATTTTGAAAAGTAATAAATGTCTGAAGCTAAAATTTTATATTTTAAAATCTATATCGATAACTAGTGCTTTCGGAACTACATTAATTAAATCAATTAAATTAATTTTACCAATTTACAATGGTTTTATAAAAATTTAAGTACAGTTTTGTAGGAAATTTTATGCTCTTTCGATTAATAATAACAGTAAAATTTAAAATATAATAACGATTTAGATAATATTTATTATTTTGAAGTTCTCATTTCTGGTATTAGGCTCATAGTACTCCTAATATGAATGTACATGCCTAATATAAATAATATCACATAATATGTACATGCCTAATATAGATAATATCACATAATATCAAATTCCTTCTTCTGAAGATGAAAAGCAAAATATGAATAAGTTTAATAAAAGTAGAACATAAATAAATGAATTTATTTTTAAAAAACAAAATTTATTGTTTTTCATATAAAATTAGACAGAAAAGTAGTATAAATAAAAATTAATTGATATTTCTTTTTAAACTAACATTAGCATTTTGTTTTAGAATAATAAATTATTATTGATCAAATTACATTTTAAGTAAATGAATGTAATATTTTGTTTTGTTTTTGGAAGTTCATATTATTTTGTCGTGTCTTACTAATGAACTCTCTTTAATTTCCCATCAGTTTTAATTACGTACAATAATATTTTATACTTCTAAAACAAGAATGTTTTTTTATACATTCCGTATTAGTGTCTCATTAGAAACTTTTTGACAGGAATTGTATATTAAGAAAATTATCTTATTTGCGTTTTTATAAGAGAAATAAATCTGATGCACTTATCTTGTTACATATAATACTATGCAAAAACTGTGATAATGTGATGTAAATAATCAATTGTAAATACGTACTTTTTTTATAGCTTCTGCATATATTTACTAGTTGAAATAAATAACAAACATAACCGATTGTATTTATTGCCAATAAATAGCAACAACAAGAGTCTTTAATATCGTGTTATTTTACAAAATATCCTGAATTTAAATTTCAAAACTTCAGGAGTTTGTAAAGAATCGATAAACTAAGGAAACAGGTCCTTTGTAGATTGCTCGTTTTTTGCTTTGCTTTAGAGACAATTATGAAAAAAGGAAGAAAAATGTTTTTATTTTCTCATTTATTCAGTAAGTTTATTCGATACCAATCAACTAACATAAGAGACCATAGTTTGGTATATCAAAACATTAGCTATAATCAGAGTGGTCAATGTTCGATCTAATCGCTTGCTGCGAAAAGCTAGCATTTTAAACAGTATATTCATTAAATAGATTATACAAAAGATAGTAGATGACATTACAAGATGATAATAGATAATAACACGAATAAATGTAAGTAAATAAATGAGAAACCATTTGTTTCTCTTTTCTCCGAAATGGAACAGAAACGAGCAAATCTCTGAGAACTTCTTTTTTAGTTTATCAGTCTCGTATATGCCTCCTAAAGTTTTGACATTTAAGTTTGCAATACCCTGTATATTAAACACATATTCCCTAATATACAACTTGTTACTTATAGTTACGTATAACTATTTTATATGTAGGAAATGACATTCAATCTTTGAATAATCTAATCATTTATATCCAACTGTTGAAATTTGGAAAAAGTAAAATTAACTTGCGTGTTTACTCACTTCAATGCCGATTCGATAAAATTAAAAAGAAATCGATATCGTGTACATATTTATGTATCTACGGATTAAGATAATTGAGATTTGGAAAAAGTAAAGATTTGGTGATTAACTTGCGTGTTGATTGTCGGATTAGCAATTCTGGCATTCGTCTTTTTGTTCGATATAATGTAGAAAAATTCATCAACAAAATCGGTTGCCTGGGGAAATTAGATTCGTCCTTATCCTTGATATTTCACGGCGATGAAAGGAGCAAGAAAGATTCCGGTGATGTGATATGAAAATAAATGTCTTGAAGTTGATAAAAATCTTAATCATGGTAGGTAGGAAGGCAAAGTGACGTAAGGCTCGTATGCAGCGGATACAAATGCAATAGTATGACGTGGATACTAAGTGTGGGTCGTGGTAGCTAACCATTAACAGCATCACTGCCACTATGTACATTTGTGACGCAACGAAATGCACGTAGGTTGCTGGTGGTGGGTGTACGTGTCAAGGCCAGCGAATTTTCGGAACCATTGGTATTTTATGGTTCTCGTGACAGGAATACCATCGCTCGAAATTTCTCGTGCCAAAGGTATATCAAACTTTAAATAATATAAAATTAATATTTTCCAACGAAATAAGAGAATAGAATCTATTTGAAGGAAATAAAATCAAAAGGTATGGAGAGTTAGATAAATGTCGATCAGTGATAATCTGTGACGATTAATGTGCAAGTTGCATGGCTTATCCTAACGATAAATGAGAACATGCATGGAGATAGATTTACGAGCCTGCGTTACGAATGGTATACATACATACGTCTAAATGTCTAAATAGCAATGTTGCAGTTCAGTCATAAATTGTGTGCGCGAGTAAGCATTTTTACGTTTCGAAATAAAATTCCGTGAACGCAACCGAATAAATGTACAATTAATTAATTATCTGAAATGAAAAATATTTTCAACTAATCCGTATTTAGCTTTTATTAGAAAAGGAAGGAATTGAATATATTATAAATTATACTCAAGCAAAGCTGGTCATTCGTAGCAATCATTAATTAACGGATTGTAATTGAGAGTCTATGACCGTTTAAACAGGCCATGGATATTGGTATAAATTACATTTGGTTATGGTTCTCAATAAAATAATTGGACGAATCGGGTCGTTTGAGTTGCATCGGTTCGCCAGCAATTGATACCAATTAATTAGGGAACGACGTTTCAGAGGCTGTTTACGTCGATTGTTTCGAAGCAAACGAAGATACACGAGCAGATGCTGACTGACAATTTATTTTTATTGAATTTCTTGTTTGTATCGGCGAAAAGCTGGTATAATTTAACGAGCGTTCACCTATACTGATTAACCCACTCACGAAAGTTAATTAAAGCAGCCGCACGCCATCTTGTTATCTCTTTCTAATTTATCAAATCGTTTGCCATCGCTCCTCTGATTGATCGTATTAATTCGCATCGTATTAATTTAGAATTAGTGTGAAACGTTAATCAAACGTAACAAATTCATTTTCCTGGCTTCTTGAATGGCTTCGTACCTGCCTGACAATAAAGGAAAGGGTTAAGAAGAGAGAACAATCTCAACTCCAAAATCTTTTGAAAATTAAAATTTATGGATTGCTGCTCGGAAATATGCACAGAATTATCCGACTTTCTTCAAAAATTACCCTTTGTTCTGGCCAAGGGAAAAGCAAACCTGTCCTGGCTGTATACAACTTAAACAGATTAAATTCATTATAAGTGCTCTTCAGCTTTTGGAAAACTCGAGGATTAAAGTCCCTTGTTATAGATTGGTCCCTGCTTTAAAATTTTCTTTGTCGTATTCTATACAACACGTTCCTTACCGTAATTTTGTGAAATTTCAAGAAAAAAGGAGTCATTATTTTCAAACGCGTAAAAGGTACACCGGCTGCAAGATAGAAAGATAAAATTTTGCCACACTATCTCCAAAAGTTAAAACAACACAGGGAAAAGAGAAATTGTCGTACTCAGTGGCAACTCGTGGCTTAAAATCGTAGGGATGCAACTTTCGAAATATACATGCACATTAAATACTAAATGGATTTTTATTATTTTCTTATACAAGATAAGAGAATTGTATAGGACTATTGATGATAAAATTAAATATTGCAAGCAAATATAAATAAATTAAAAAATCGTGCTGCCGTTCTGCCTCATCCTATATTGTTAGTTAATATTTTGAGTCTATGTTTACGCCAATGTCATTGCATCTCTTTATTGTATTTTGTTTCTTTTTGTGATGAACTTAATGAACCAATAATGACAATGTATCTAAATCGTTACTCTCATATTATAATTAATCAGATGACATGAGCAAACGATTCCCTTTTCTCCTATTCGCTTTTAGCCTGTGCGCCAACGACTCATCTCCGTATTATCCTTATATAATCGCGTAGTCTTATTTTTCAATGAAGAGAAATTTTGTTTATCAAATTCAGTATTTTATTTTCATAATATTCATAATTTTTGTAGTCATATGAAGATACAGAATTATTGAGCGACATAAAATTTAATATTCGATATTTTTTATTAATCATTGTAACAGAAATATAATGTATTTAGCATTTTATTTTTGGTATTTACAAAGTTACCAAAATGAATAAAAATTTATCGTAAAATAAATTAAAATAAAAAGAAGTTAGAAAATATGTTTTGCTAAATTTGTATTTCAACGTTAGATTCAACTACAAGAAAAAAACGAAAGAAAGCTTTAATCCAAAATTAAAGGGACCTTGATAATAATAATAGCCGAAGGAATAGCGGAAAAGTGAATGTTAGCATCGATATTTCAATAAAATGAAGCACGAATTCCGTGAGGACTTTAACCCCTTGACATACAATGACGTCTGGGAGACATCATGCGTTTCCTAAGGACTATTGAATTATTAATTTGTTCTTTCATCATTCTTTTTTTTTTTTATTAATTTTGTTTATAAGCATTGTGTTTACGACATTTTGCGGCAATATATAAATATAATAAGAGTAGAAAAATTATCTCTGTTAAGTTTACAACACAAATGTTAAAATGAAAGATAAGTATCGTCTTTTGGTCATATCGAATTTCACTTAATTCGTGTGTCAAGGGGTTAATAGAGTTACGTTACACCTGTACAAGGCAAATTGGCATGCAAAATCTGTGGTTGCATACAGCAGAAAAGAAAAGAAAGTCAACGAAGGAAGAAGCAATTTTCCAGGTTGATGGCCTAGAAAATTGCTGCAATGTGTCTATGTTCACGGTGTCCGGTCAATGATTTTTTTTTATACCCTTTTTTACTCCTGATTGCAAAAACTTAAACTTTACCTACCGATATAAAAATTTTTATTTTTTCACTTAATTTGTCCATAATCCCAATTTTAATCCCACCGCATGCGATTATTGTTCGTCTGATTTTATATCAATTTCATGTCAAGTCTTTGATTATTTTTTACTAATAATTTATATATTTTTTTTTAAATTATTTTCGATTAAATTGTATTTTCCTATCGTTAGAAAATTTAAGATTGAAAAAAAATAAGAAAGCATTATAGAATACGTGATTTCTCGTTTCAGGTTTATACTACAGACATTTTTAAGTTATCGAAAACTTCTTTTGATTGAAAGATGGAAGATTTAATAGATTCAATTACACACTCGAAGAGATCTCTTTTAAAGATAAGTTCAAAACAAAATCCAATAATATCATATTTAGTGATTTCGCTGGACTGATAAAATTATTTACAGAGGAATGGATACAGCTATGAGTATCGTTACAAATAACATTCATTTGTTACTATTCGTCTTTCTTCCTCGAATAAAATTGTTAAAACTGCTTAAAAATCTAACTGGATCTTCTCCTTTAAAATTCCACTCCCATCGAACTATCATACAATCGTTTTAATACACATGAATACACATCATCATCATTATATACGTTGTCTCGATTATTACACATATGTATTAAATCAAAGATAATTTTTCGATATACATAGGTTAATACTTTTTTATAGAGAATAAATGTATCAATTATACATAAAGAAGTATATAGTTCTATTTAAAAAGGTGGAAGTGACTTTCATATGATCTCATTTATCTAC